TGTCCAGTTTAACTCAGCTAACATTGCAACTAGTAATGAGAATAGTTTTCTAGCGTCTAGGCCGATGATGGTCATCGATATGAGTAGTGAAGGGATTGTATGTGCTCAAAAACTGACCGCGGAGAACAAACATTGATGACGCACAGCCCGGAAATGCCAGATAAGCTACACTCGGGACTCCGCGATACCATCAGACATCTTGATACATATGGGCGGGACCCAGTATCTGTTTATATCCGCGAATCATCAGTCATGAGGGAGGCTTGTGTGGATTATGCTTGTGATTGTGCGGAGAATAGCCGAGGGGAGCCGCGATAACGAAGCCACCTGTCGACTCTGGAAGGTTTAGCGCCATCATCAAACCAAATCGGATATCACAGCCGCGCTTGTTAGAAATATGAGGCCTGTCAGAGCGTGGTCAGTGACTTGATGACACTTGTAGGTGCCGTCGCGGCCGTAAATCCCTCCCATGATGCAGAACCCGGTGAGGAGAAAGCCTTGCGATGGTATATAAAGAGTGACGATGCCTTGGCGGCTAAGATGGTGATGGTGAATGATGAACAGCATACAAAGGAGTCTAAAATTGTGGTGCATAAGGGCCGGCAGTCTTCCGTACACTCCGCCAAACCAGTGAAATGGATTTCAGAGGCTACGCTGATTCTCCCAGTGTTTTGAGTTGCGATATCAGAATCAGGCTGAAGCTGTTGCCTCCAAGTTTGATGTTAATCTGGCTGGATTGGAGGCGGTGCAGGTGTACCTAAGTGGCTGATGCCAACATCGACTTTGGGGACCCCGACGCGCGGAATTTTCAGGTACCACCTCCATTTCAGCCACGCCTTCCATCTCGTCTCTTCTTCCTCTTCTTCTCTGCCCTTATACCTTGCGAGAGCATGCGCTGCGTTGAATATGGTTCGCCAGGCGAATCAATCCTGCACGTTCTCTTCTTGTGCGCCCGTCCCGACATCCATGGTGGGAAGCTTGAGAAGGCCAACACAAGCTACCTATCAGACCCGCTATAGGTTGCTGTCCACCAGGTCTGTTCCGATATCCATGACCTCATCGTCGGACTATGCCCGAGCTCTCGATCAGCTGATTTTTTCGTTCTCTCAGTCTCGCGCTCTGATTTCCATTTCCGCAAACAGTGATGCTACCCCTCCGCCGATTCCCGAACCCCGGTTCGGACTTCAAGAACAAATCACCGTCCACGATATTTTCGCGGCGAGCGAGTCGCACTTGGACCCATATCAGCCTGGGGAAATCGTGGCGTGAATGCGTACAGATCTCGGCGAAAACGATCCCTGCCGTGAGCGCCGCAGCCCTGGAGAAAACTCCGACCGCAAACGCCGGATTTGCTTTCTTTCGTCAAAGTCGCAACTTTTCATGGTCTCCTTGCGCATTCATCTCAGTCATCAGCGCCAAGATCGATTTGCGGCGTGTCTGCTCTTCTCCGCTGCCAGCTGGAATGCCGAAGCAGAGCTCCCCCGTCTTCGAAACAACGACCGCTTCGTGCCGGCGAAGAAGAGCCTTGACGACTCCCCTGAGTACACAATTTCGTCACTTGCTTCACGATTGATATGTGCCGCGTCGTCGTTCACTACCGCAACGCCGCACTGAGCTCCGCCGCCCTTGAACGAAACACATGTTTGTGCCCGGGGAAATCGGAATGGCAATAGCCTGATGCTCGCCAGCCCATTGAGCTTTTCCTGTCATGCAGAAGAAAGCTTGGTTATTGATTAATGCTGCATCGTATTCCGCATTGCGAGGCTGATGTTTGAACCTGGTGAATTCGGAAGTGTCTGCCGGTCCAATACCAGGCGAACAAAGATTGGGACACCAAGAAGATGGGTAAAGGATACAATGGTGTGTGTTGTCAGCATGGTTGGCAGCGAGGGTCTTTTTGCGGTCGCTTCCAACAGGCTGGGCTTAGGGTTGCGGTTAGAGGAGCCCTGAGAGTCCTCTGTTGCCATACTCCAGGTGGGCGCTATAGTAAGAAAAGCATCCCTTTTTTCTCTTTAACTACTGTAGATCAAGCTAATTGTTAGCCAGGATTCTGGGCAGTCATCCTTTCCTAGTTATACAAGTTTTTAAGTTCCCTTGTGTCCAAGAAAACTTCCTCTCTGCCTGGCGACATCAATCATCTATCCTATACTTGGCCACCAACAAGTTCAAACTTCTACCATATCCGGTAGCTTCAAACGTTTGGGAACCTTTCATTAGGTCATACCAAGCAGTCTTTCTGTTTGGACAGCCTAAACAATGCCCGGGCCTAGTTTCGCTGGGCCCGATAAAAGACAGTGCTATTGACCTTGCCAGTCTATAAGGATAAAGCCTTTGTTACAAGTAACCTCACTATTTTATAATATTATTCTAAGCTAACAGCCAGAGCAAGGCAAACATGCTCTGCTTGCCATACAGCACTAACAATCCTTTTGAATTCTGCTGCTTTGAGAGACGGCCTGTCCTAAAGGATTAGATCTTTGTGGTGAGAGCTCCGCGTCAGAAGTTGCTGAGTTACTAACATCAAGACCAGGTCAGCCGTTATGCTCAGCTATTACGAATCTGCAGATATTCTCTATACACCCCCAGCTTTCCTAATAATTGGCGGAACTTGATGATATCTCGAGAGTGATGGCTCGAAGTCACGTGACATTTTGCCTCAGGCTCCAACTTCCTGCTATCACCACCCACCAAGCATTTCCCAGCCCTAACTGCACCTTGAAACTGTCCTGTGACTGTCTGGGTGGTTCTCTTTTTGCTTGATGCACATCGGAGAAGCATCAGAAATCATACTGTGTCATCAAACTGGTGAGTACAGGCCCTAATACTGTCTGAAGGCACGTTTTGTTGCTCTCGCCCTTCCAGAGATTCACGAATTAGGGCTCGGTTGGTCGTTTCCTTCTTCAATACGTTCTGCCGTATCTGCCGTATCTGCGGCATTGACCGGGAAGGTAGGGTTCCTCGCATCACGGGCGCAGAATGCAGAAACCCACGTCGCGTCTCTGTGACGACTCGATGGTCAAAAAGCACCCTGTACACAGTCTACAAGGATTCTATGGTCCTCTGGAGCATCTTTACCTTCTTCTCAACTGCCGAGATAGGTGAAATGGTGGTGTACGAGGTGCACTCGCGCGGGATGCTCCTTCTTGGCGAGTCGAAATTGCTCGCCGCCCGCGCCCTTTCGAGTACCCACCGAGGCCAGCGAGGCGAGATGGCGAGCAATTTCAACTCGTCAGCTGCGCAAGAACGTCCGAGTGACCTAGGGACTATAACTGCATCTTCCTGTGGCCACAGAACTCAGAAAATATGGGATATGATTGGTTTTTGGTGCTTGTTGGTGGCTTCACGGGCTGAATTGACCGCTCTCCGCGACAATATCATGCTCCATCGCTTCCTGCTGCTTATCTTCGTCTGGGGAAGGTCTGAATTCATGCTTTTCTTCCTGTCTTTCTCAATTCTACCGCCTCGTCCGTTTTCGGTGGTTTGTGGATGCTGGACGAATTCCAACCTTTAACGCCCCAGCTGGAGATAGAAATGGAAACTACTGCATATCGTCCTACTAGCTAAGTACATCTCTTATCAGTCAACTGAATGTTGAATTGGAATCATGTACTCTGTGCGAGCTGGCTCGAATCAATATGTATCACCTGGCGGTCGGAACCGATCTCCGACCGATCTCTGTGACGTCATGCTCACCACCACGGCTTCTATCTCCAACCTCGGTTAACCCATCCCAGGCACTACGAAGTTCGAAAAAGTTCAAGCGCCATCAGTGCTGTTACTCAGGGCCGTCTAAGTAGTCCTGTAAGCTTGGAATAGCGATCACGCCGCCTTTACGCCTGAGGCTCAGCCATTGCGCTGCAGAGAGCGTACCCTATCCGAGAAGTCGGATTTGGAGGCTTGATCTGAACTTCAGGGATCTTTCAAGGCAATGCAGCATCCCTATTGTTTTTTTCAATGTTGGTTGTAATATGGCCAATGTCTGGTGCTTCTTCGCGGCCTTGGGCTGCGGTCGCTGGCCTCTATTGAAAAGCTCTCGATTCATGTAGACACAGTTCCTCAAGCAATCCGCTCCGGCCATACCTTAGTCTCAGCTTGCTTGAACGTTATGTCAGACTACTTGCTGTTCGAGTGTTGCTGCGAGTCTTGATTCATTCAGACACCCTCCATCCGAGTTCTGTAATAATGACCGAGCTATGTCCAGTACGCGCAATGTCTTATTTGATATTTGTTCTATACTATGTAGGTCACGAAGTAAGCGCTCAGATAATCAATCCGCAATAGACTCTCCCTCCTGTTTCATTATATTAGCGTGCCGTTAGCCCATGAAACAAATGTGTATAGCCGGGCTGTTTTTGAACTTGTTTGGCTTATATTGGCCGGTTCTACCTGTATGATGTTATCCTTACCCTTGTCCTTGATGTTGAAGCTGGATATCGATGCTTCAGAGCCCCGGCGAGGATCGATCCAAGTCCCTGATTTATATACCATTCACATAAAAACAAAAACGCCATGCTGATAATCTGTTTGCACACCACTAGACCATAGAGACCCATCTGCTTTCCAGACAGTCCTTACATTCCAATATCATCTACGCAAATCTTATTCACAGAGTATATCAGGCTCTCCGGGAAGATTGATGGCTGCTGCGTGGCGCTGACGTAGGCCGATATATCGACCACTAAGATAAGGGTTTCATTCGGGTATGACCTAAACCTGGCCGGTACTACGGGGCATTCTTTCTAGCCGTTCTTTCTAAGTGATAACTTCATTTCAGAAGCCTGGACATACACACACTGCACTCAATCCTCAATATCAAGAGAAATCGGCACATTTGTTTCGCCAATCAAGAGCCAGCAATGGCTAGTCCTATGAGTGCTGTCTGTGACATGTCACTTCCCAAGCGCCAAAGGAAGGGCGTCAAATCCCGAGGGAACTGCAGCACACAAACTGCTTCTTCTCCTCTCCTCCTCCTCATCATCACAGCCTGACTTTGCCTCGAAATGGAATTACCTTCAAAGGTCGAAATATCACCACATCGTATCGAATACATTCTCTGTTCGCCATTAGCGGACAGCATTTCCGATGCCCCTAGGAATACCGGAGTGGTTTCTCAACCAAACACCACGAGCAGCCCGCCACCGCGTGAGGCATCGTCCCTCGCCCCGTCCAAAGACCGCTTTCGCGTCTCTCGACGTACGAGGGACCAGGACAAAGACAAGGACAGAAGAGGGCCGAAGGTTGGTTGTCTGGAAAGCCTTACCCTCTCATACTTGGAGGAGAAGTAGCTAACAGCAATTTCTCACCAAAGCGCGCACAATCGGCGAGGGAACCAGTGTCATCGCGTCTATTGGTTGCGTATGATAGAAACGATGCCGAGAGAAACGAGGACAAGGCCCGGGTCTTCCACAGCAACAACGCAGAAGACAGAGACAGATGCGAGTTCCTGGAGAAGCTACAGCATGCTGCTGAAGCTAATTTCACGAGCATAGTATGGCCCTAGAAATACCCTAGTTACCCATGGTTGACTCCGTCCACGTCTAACTACGCTTCTGCTTACCTACTACTATAGGTGAACGACGACATGAGCACGGCATGCCCCAGGGCCGGGGGCACGCGCCCTAAAGATCCTGCCCGACAAACGAAAACCGCCACAAATGCCCGCACCGAAAGTTCGAACGAATCCAGATACACCGAAAGGTCAGAGACCTCCTGGACTACCCAGCCGAGCCCTTATCCCCCTCCGCCGAGAATACAATCAGACGGCCGCGACGCGAGAGACCGGAGAACGGGCACGAAGTCCCTCGTCCGAGAGGGCGATCGAATCCCGGACGGCTGCGTCCCAGAAGAGACGCCATGCATACGCTGCGCAAAAGCGTGGTTCTCGGGTTGGGCGGATAACGGGCTGGCATGGCGGCCTGTTATATGTGTTCGCAAGCGCGGTGGGGTGCGCGTGCGGTGTGTCGGTTGCGTGAGGAAACATAGGAATTGCGAGGATATACACCCGGAGGTCCTTAATGAATGGAGAAAGATTCAAGATCGGGATCCCAGTGAGGATGTCCTGGCTGCCCACCGCGCATGGAAGAGAAGAGTCATGATTCTTCAGAGATGCACCCGCAGGCGACGGGGTAGGGGCGCGACCTCGTCTTCCAGCGTCCGCTAGAAGTTCGTTCCTTTCAGCTTAGGGTTCTTTTCCTGTCAATTTCGGGTTACTTGGTACAATGATATCGTCATGGCTGTCCGCTGCACGTAATGGACATGCGCCATTTATAATCAATAGGGTACTATTCCAAGGTTTGGACCTTCCACTGGTCGATTTCTCCGTGCTTTCGTCTCTTACCTCGAAGATCCAACTCCTCTTTTTTTACTTTAGCTTTTTGTCAAAGAATTTTTTCAATACTGCTACACCATAAAAATCAATTAACTACAAGCAAGTCCTTAACTTTAAAATTTGCATACCAGCCGCGCGCTCGGAATACTGCATGTAGCTGGCGTGTATTCATCGAGGGTAAAGTAAACATAGTTATGTAGACCCAGCCGACGGAAAGGCGTCGAGTGCCGGCGTTTCGTGCAAAAGCTGTATCAACCATTTCGGCGATTTGTGTTTGTCGTTGATGCTGTAAATGTGTCGCTCAGGTGCCACTGTACGAGTGTCGGTCGTCTTGTAAACATGGGTCTTGCTCAATTTCGTATCGACGTCTTCTTGAGCAAGGCGCTCATACGCCGTATCCCAGAGGGCAACTGTCTGGTTGGAACTGAGCATGTATTTGACGGGACCAGGATTTTGGTCCCATGCCTGTTTCAAATTGTTTGCATATTCTTCTTCCATTCCACCATCATCAGTCGTGAACTCCTTTTTAATATCTTCCTCTTCGTATAACCACGCGTAGATGACCATGAAGCGGCCATCCTGGAGCTTTCGCATGTCCACCACTTTGGCAAGGCGCGTCGGGGTGGCCTCCCCGCGTATACAAACGAGCACAACGTCATAGAGTTGAAGTGTCCACCAGCCCGAGTCGGCATCCAAGTTGGCTTTGGTTACTTTTTCAAGGTTTTCCCAGGCCGGGTAATTTTGATTGTCTTGTTCTTTTGGGACTGGTCGCAATCGATGGCCGCCTGTGTACCGTTTGGGTGGTAGGTATAATACCTGTTCGGCTTCGGCTTCTAAATCAACCTTGCTTGGATGTGATCGCGGTTCATTCTTTATAGGAGGTGCCGTTGCCCGTTCTTTGTTGGTGGCATAATCTGTGCTTGATACAGCGGCATTGAAGCGAGACGCTTGTGCAAGTGTTGGCGACGATCGTTCTGTCACTTCCTCTCTAACTGACGAACTGGAGTCAGAGGTCGACTCGGAGGCGGACCGGATGCTGGAAGCTGAGATTGCGCTGTTTTCCATCGACGTGTCATCCTCCTTATTTATATTCGAATCGCCCCTTGTCAATCTCGACCACCGAACTTTTAAGGCGCCTAGGGTGCGGCCTGGGAAGTGTCGCTGCGTGCAGCCGATCAAGTAAAGTTAGTCATCAACCCTGGAGCACGCTTGTTGCAAAATTGTTGGAAACGTCCTCTCTTCGCAAAGCCTGCGGTGGAGTATCTAAGAAAATTCCACATACCTTCAAGTCCCGCCAGGTGCATTGAGAATGTTCGACTCTCAGACGCAAGAGCCGTTCATCTTCCTCGTCGGTCCATGGTCGAGATGGCAGGTTTTGAGCGATGCTGGCCATATTGCCACTTGCATACAATATGATAGTCCGCAGAGGGTCGAGGTCGGGTTCTACTGCGGCTGCAAATTTCAAACCGCAAAGTATGGATGGTTGAGGTAGGAAGGTAAGATCATGCTCCACCGCGTCGCTGGAAGAAATACTGACCGTCCCCTCGCATACGGTCTAGTGGCGTCTGCTTCGTGCTTGCTTTTTACACGTCACTTTATGATCACGCGACGCGTTTGCCTAGGCCCTAGTTGGAGACTTTACAGCGATTGGGTCATGAAGCAGGGTTCATGGCAGAGTAGGATACGGTATACTGCAATCGGCATTGCAAGCTCTTCTCTTCGCGCTCTTGTCGTGGCATGGTTGATATATCTGCTCTTATCAATGCAATTGATTTCCCATGGCCAAAGGCATAACAACTAAGCTTGTGAAATACGATCAGTGCCATTTTTTTAATGCTGGGCGCGCGGGCGGCTTACGCACTTGCCAAATATATATCGACCACCAAGATCAGAATCGACAATCTCAGCGAACACACAACAGCAGGAGTTCAGATCGCGGACTGGAACAGTGCCCATGTATTTTCCCAACGGTTTTCACCTGTATATCTCCCCACCTGAGAGATCCCTCCAGCTCGTCGACATTGAGACTGACGTAGTGATAAACAGAGAAAGAGAAAAGAGCGATAGGAGAATCCTTATCGAAACACGGCCTGATTGGTAAGGCGTCAATGAAACACGTAAGCTGAATTCTAACACGTGACCGTCGGCGTGGCGGAAAAACACTCGGACCGCGACGCGACGTCAACCAGCTGTTTACAACCTCTGAACCCCGCCATCACCATCAGAGAACAGGACCTTCCTTTCGGGAGGTGCACAATCCGCTTACGGGTTATACTCATAACCTGATCTCAAGTTCCCTAAGTGAACCTGCTGTCATACGTGCTCAGGCATGCTGAGACCAAGTCGTGGGTCGTCGTCCAGCGTGCCGTTTCAGATCGACGTCGCACGTGTTTCTATTCCGTAGGGTACGGACAGAACGCACCGGGTCGTGTGGAGTAAGTCAAGCTCGGAATTTCCGAGCTCAGGTACCCTGAGTCAGGGACAGCATGCTAAGGAGCACAGGATACTGCAACTCTGCGTCCTTATTTATTCTCGGAGACTCAATCCATCTTCAGCCCGATCCTACGCTACCCGGGCGGAAGTACCAGAAAACGGACAAGGCGCCAGATCTGTCATCAACAGCGATATCGAGACGGCTTTTCCGGACCTTGAATCGAGGGTTCGACATATTTGAGTGGGGCGACGATAAGAATCTGATAATGAGAAATCCCGAAACTTGGTCCGAAACCCTGTCCTGACTCCTGACGACAGCTTTAAAGGGCTGAATCGTTGAGCCTGACTGACTAGGCTGCGTTCTCTGACAGTGATAACCACGCTGATCATGGTTTTGCAGGTGTTTCCTTGACTTTTCAGCCTCCAAACGCGCCACGCCTTGCGTCGTCCCTTCGTATACGGAGTACCCCTGGACCCTTTCTCCGAATCCCTTCGGCGCCAGTCGTGCACGAGCTATGCCGTTGCCGAAATCGGGCAACGGCCCGAAATGTTCGTACCTGCATCTCGGATTTGAGGAGTTCGACAATAATTCCGATGTGGCACTGGGTTGCAGCAACCAACGTTTCTTCTGAAGTTCTCGAAATGCAATTCCAACTTTGGGCCGAGGATCGTCAATCATTGCCTAGTTCAGGTTGCAGAATTCCACGAGGCCTACGTAAACCGCCTCCGTGCTCGCGGGCCGATGTCGAGTTAAAAGCCCAGTGACAGCACCTTATTCTTACCTACCATCCACTCATTGATCTTTACACTCCTTTTTTCGCACCTCAGTGTCGTGCCTTTACATTTTTTTTCTTTTGACTGTTATTTACTTCACTCCGCCTTTACATTTCCTTTCATTTCTGTTGGCAGCATGAGGTTCACTGACCTTACGCTGCTCGCAGCAGCAGCACTCCCTGGCGGAGCCCTTGCTGCTGCACATGCTAATGCACATGCGCATGCCCACACCAACGCGAACACTTCGAGCTCAGCATCTGCGCTCCTCTCATCCGGCACCCTGAACCTAGGCGCGTACCAGTCCGCCTATTTCAAGGCCAAGGAACTTGTCTCCGGCCTCAACACCACCGAGAAAGTTTCTATCATCACGGGCGGGTCTGTCGATGAGGTCTGGGACGCCCTGCAAAGCAAGGACGGCATGAGCGGTGTCAACATGGCGTACTACGTCTCCTCCTTTCCGCTTGGCAACGCCCTTGCTATGACTTGGAATGCTTCCCGCGCATACGATCAGTTTCTAGCCACTGGCAAGGAATTCTATGGCCTTGGCTATAACCTTGTCAACGGACCCGAGCCCGGTCCTCTCGGACGCACGCCGTGGGGTGGACGCGCAGCTGAGGCCTTCTCTCCCGATCCTTATCTTTCTGGTATCTTCATGGGCCAGTCCATTGCCGGCCAGAACGCTGCCGGTGTTATTTCTGTTGGTCGTCATTTCATTCTCAACGAGCAGGAGACGAACCGTGGCATGAGCGGAACAACTTACTCGTCTGTTGCGGGCGACAAGGCGACCCACGAGCTCTATGCGTGGCCTTTTGCTGACGGTGTGCATGCGGGAATGGGCGCCATCATGTGCGCGATGAACGACGTCAACGGCACCACAGCATGTGAGAATAAGCATACTCTCACAGACCTTCTCAAGGCCGAGCTCGGCTTTCCTGGTATGGTCATGCCCGATGTAGGCGGGCAGAAGAGTTCTTTTGGCTCTGCAAACAACGGTCTTGACTACGGTTCTAGCCAGTACTGGTCCGACTCCATTATCGAGGCTGGTCTTCGCAATGGAACCCTGACGAAAGCGAAGCTTGACGACATTGCTATCCGTAACGTCATTGGGTATTTCTACGTTGGGCTCGACAAGAACCCTGCGCCGTCTGTCGCCGACACAACAGCCAACCGCCACGTCATGAAGGATCACAAGAAGCTCATCCGCGATGTTGCTACTGAGTCCCTTGTGCTGCTGAAGAACACGCCTGGAGAGAACGTTGGTCTTCCCCTGACCGAGGGCAACTCGATTGCCATTTTTGGTGCCCACGCGGGCTTTCCCCTCGCTGGACCGAACCTTGAGTTCAGTGTCATGGGCTCGAGCGGCGATACGTTCCAGGGCCATCTTACCTCGCCTACAGGTTCCGGTGCGGGATCTGCGAGCTATGTCATCACGCCTCAGCTGGCCATGACCCTTCGTCAACGCGAAGATGGCGGTATGTTGTGGTGGATCACAAATGACACTTACACTGAGAGCTCCAGTTCTGGATTCCCTGGCGGTAGTGGTACGGGTGGTGGTATGGGTGGTGGTATGCCCGGTGGTAACTCTTCCAGCGGTGGCTTCCCTGGTGGAGGTTTTGGCAGTGCTCCCGGAGGAGGTATGGATGGTGGTGATGGTATGGGCGGCGGCGGCGGCGGCGGAGGCATGGCTGGTCTTGGCAGCGGAACCGGGGTCACCCACAGCTACGCCAACTACGCCTCATCCTCCGACGCGTGCGTTGTCTTCCTCAACGCCCTAGCCGGTGAAGGCGCTGACCGCAACGAACTCTTCAACGACGACCAAGACACCATGGTCACCACCGTTGCGGAGAACTGCAACAACACCATCGTGGTAATCAACACCGTCGGCCCGCGCCTCATGGAATCCTGGATCGAAAACGACAACGTCACAGCCGTCCTATACGGCGGCCTCCTCGGCCAGGAATCCGGCTTCGCCATCAGCGACGTCCTCTACGGCGATGCCAACCCCTCCGGAAAACTCACCCACACGATCGGCAAAAACGCATCGGACTACCCTGCTTCTATCTGCGAGACCACCGAATGCGACTTCACCGAAGGCGTGTACATCGACTACCGCTGGTTCAAGGCCAAGAACACCACGCCCCGCTACGACTTCGGCCACGGCCTCTCCTACACAACCTTCAAGTATGGCTCTGTGCAAGCCAAGGCCACAGCCCCCAAAGCCCTGGCAACCCGCTACCCCAGCGGCCCCCGCGCCCTCGGCGGTACCAAAGACCTCTTCGATGAAGTTGTCAAGGTCACAACCAAGATCTCCAACACCGGAAAGCGTGATGGTGCGGAAGTGGCTCAGCTGTACGTTTCATTCCCGGCTGAGGCTGCGCAGCCCGCTCGCATCCTCCGCGGCTTCGAGAAGGTCCATGTGCCCGTTGGCAAGGAGGTTGATGTTACCTTCTCCCTGCGTCGTCGCGACCTGAGTTACTGGGATGTGGCGGCGCAGAAGTGGGCGATTGCGAAGGGTGAGTATAAGTTCTCGGTTGGCGCGAGTTACTCGGATCTTAGGGGCTCTGCGACGCTGGAGATTTGATGTGATTGATTTCCTTGTTGTGGAAATGGGTCTTTGGTTTTGTAGTATATACAAGCTTTAACTAGATGGATAAACATTCTCTTCATATTGTTGTGTATCCGTCCGCTATCTGTACCGTGAACAGTCCTAAATGGGACTACAGGGAACGCTCCAAGGTATGGGTCTGCTCATCATCTTGATCCACAGTCTGTAGTGGGCGGAGGTGGACTCCGCCAACTCTCTCTTGACCCATCTGCTACCTTTACGCGAATGTATATCAACCCCTCTTCCACATCTTACCTCCAACAATTCCCTGAAGGACCAAAACGTATCCACCATCAGGACGGTCTCTACATACCTCACCACGCAGTCAAAACATACCGCGATGTCTGACCAGCAAAGCGGAGAACATCCCGAAGGAATATCGGTAAATAAAAGCGAGTCTGTCCTACGACCGACACGCTGTCCCACCGAACTCGGACAGCGACTTCTCATTATCCTTGAAGAAAAAAGAAAGACGTTGCAGCCACATGCTCACCGCGACATGCGAGGAGCCTTCACTTTCGCGAAAGCGGGCCGAACAGGAATCCATTGCGCTTATGGGGTATCACGGAGCTCTGGGAGAACTCGGCCAGAGATTTCGACTCCTGCGGCTCCTTCGCTCGTGCCCTGCCCTGATTTTCTCAACTTCTCTGTGTATGTAGTACCGATGTCGTTTCGAATCCGTCGGCGAGGGGTCGATTGGGGGCTGTAGGCGGCCTAGCAGCGGTTGACGTGGACGTGGTGGTGGTTGTTCCGGTGGTTGGCAGGATCGACCGTCTCTATCTGCCGGGAAGGCCTTTGTAGTTCGGAAATCGGAAAATGGAATCGGACATTGATTGTCTTCGGGCGGACGTACACTGCGATGTCAGTGGTCTGCGTGGAAAGTGAAGGGTCGTTTACCTACGTTCTCGCGAATCAATAATAGGAGATGCGGCGACAGGCCTTTCAGCCCAGATGCGGGCAAGGCGCTCAACGTCCACGGGCCATTTTCGGTTTGTTCAGCCTGCGATGTAAAGAGGGGAGACGGTTGTTGACGGGGTCGGGAACTTCTCGCAGCGATGCGGGGGCGGCGCCTGGTGTTGTGTTCCAGCTGGTCGTATCTCGAGGTGTTCTTATCGGCGTGGGAATTGTCCCGTGGCATCGGTTGGCTCTCTGGTGACTGGCAACTTCGATATACCAAAAGGCAGGAGTAGCGCTTCTTCGTCTCGGATGTTCTTCGGGCAAACGGCAGCTGTTTATGTGGCGACAGTATTGGAACGCTACGGCGGCGTGCACGGCGTGCAAAACTCATTTCATAGAAAGTAACAAAATTGCCTCCGCGAGCTCAAATGTCGTTGGCTTGACTTTGCTGGCATTGATATCAAGCAATCAACACGGTGGGGTAATTTCTGATGGAATGAGACTTGACAGAAAATGATGTTGAGGTGTGGAAAAAGAGAAACGCACTGGCCGGGAGATTAATTGATATTCCAAAATCTGATAGGCCAGTAACTCGTATCATCTCGTGACCACCATTGAAATGCTCGCTAAGTACCATTATTGACAGCTCTCAGCTCTCTCCTCATCACTCTCCGCACCATTCCATATACTCCAACTCGAATCAGGTGCAAGAAATATCATCCATCAAGTTGGTTTCTTCAAAATCAGGCTCTATCTCTATGCTTACGAGCTCTGAAGCAAGCGCTTTTCTTACCTACCCCTCACCAAACCTTCCCCCGTTTGCGCCAACCTCAACATCCTTACCTCCCAATCCGACCGCCTCGACCGACATAGCAATCGGAATAAGTGTCATCTTAACGCGTCGAGGCTAGCAAAGGCACGGGCTCCATCGTTAGACTCGCAGGACAAGTCGTCGTGAAGTTCAGACACCGCGAGGAAGTCCGCCTGTGGCCCATGTAGAAAGGTTCGTCGTTCCCCCATAAAATCGAGCTGGAAGCCGACACGAACGGCGTTTTGACAGGCATTCCATTCCACCCAACCGCCTTTCCAAGATCCTACATGCAGCCCTTCCGTTTCAGCCATGTCCGACAACTATATGTACGAGGTTGTTCACAACGATGTGCGGCCAGGAACCATCAAACATCCGCCACCCGCCGAAATCCTATATGAATGTGAAGCGCACGGCGGGCACTGGCTCTACCCATTCCCCGCGCAAGGCCAAAAGCCGTGGGAAGGCCTGGTCGAAGTCCAGTCTGCCTCGTTGGATGGTTGACGTGTTTGGGTGGGTGATTTTGTGGCTGTCCGCTGGCACACAGGTGCTACGGGTACGGCGTATGCGAGAGTGTCCGAACAGAGGAGGATGGACGATGGGCGCTATATGACGGTTTATGCTTGGTTGTATACTAGGGATAAGGTCATGGAGGAGATCACAGCCGGGCATCCCGTGAGGAACTTGCAAGCACATAATTATGGAAAATGGAAATGGCCCGTCGACGCGGCGTGGGAATATATGTTGAGCACGAACTGTATAATCGCGCTGTGGAACACTGGTCTCTGGCGTCTACCAGCCGAAATGACCGCGAAGATATGTTCTACCACATTTTGCAGATCAACGTATCTCATGCGGCGGATGTATAGCTTCAACACGTATAATTGGGTGGCGCAAATTTTCCGCCTATCCCCTGGCACGAATGAGGTAACGATAGAGGTACAGGGTCACCAAGCAAACGACCACGGCCTGATCACGTAGTGATCGGGCGGATTCTAGCCCCCTTGAGCAGGTACGCCGATGCTTGAACGTGCCGGGGAGACAAAGACAACGTGGAGAATGATGTTCCCAATGAGGATTCTTCCCCCAGTGTACCGACAACAGACGACAGAGGGGCTTTTGCCTTCGGAGTAGTAATCAGCTCTAATAAGATTGAAAATGTCCGGAAAAGAAACCCGCTGAATAGTATTCATATTCGGGTTTTCACCGAGCACCTACAAGCTCAGATCGCGGTGAAACGAGCTCCCTGAAAGGCGCATTTTCTCCCCGCCGATAGAGTCCGGTCTATCCTCGAAGGCTCGAGCGAAAGACCGACGGCAACTGCCGATTACCTTGTACTCCCTCTGATGACAGACGACCAAGCCCACTGGTTTCCAATTATCGTCGCACAGTTCAAGGAGTTGTGCCGAGGTGGAAAGGGCGCAGTCCACGTCCTTAATCCCAAAGCCATGAAATGGTTCGAAATCAAAGAACCCATTATTAGACTTCCAACAGCGGCCGCGCAGTCCCACTCTGGCAATGACATCGACCTCAGCAACATTCGGTGGTTTTCGGTCTGGTCGCGAGAGTTACCCATTCAAGGCGACGCCTTGTCTGGCTTTTACACCACGGCGCATCTTGAGGCCTTCGCGGCGGATCCGGTTTCATTGGTTGGGCGTCTTTATCAGAAGAGGTTCCGAGAATTTGAAGTTGGGTGTCTAGATGAAGTTTTGCCACAGCGGTACCTCGAGCTGTTGGAGAGATTTCAGAATGCAGACGATAGGGATGATTGTCTTTATGGCCGCCGCGGACGTCCGATTTTTGACGGTGTTCTGGACAATGTTTTGATAAAACTTGGAACACAAAGTACAGCGGTAGCATCTTCTTAAGCGGGACACGCTGAGTGAAGAAGAAGACTTTCTTGATTCTCGATGCAGAGATCTGTGGCAGGTCAAAATCTCCTGTTTGACTCGTTAGGTGCTGGACTTTTGGGTATTCTTCAGTGACTTAAGCAAGTGATCCTTACTATATTTTCCGAACGGGAAGCCCTGCTTCCTCTCTCAAGAAGCATACTATGTCGTCGACCCCATCCGATACTCGATATCAATGGCCAAACTCCTCGTAAACCTTCCAGCCTACACCCATTCCTAACCCATCAGCAAATATCGAGGCAATTCGTTGCCCGAGTTTGACAGACACCTTGTGTTCGGCAGAGCCATGGCCAAGAAAGACTGGTAACGTAAGGTGAGGAATAAAGAGTAACCTTTCAGGATCACGGTGGGAGGCTGAGGATAGCTCTGGCGTGATTCACAGCCTGAACATGGATCAGGGTACCGAACATCTCTGAATCGCGCGCGAACGGATTGTCAATTCTGCCAATTTCTGGCTGTGATACTGACTCCCTGCCGTCCATGCGCAGAATTCCTATTATCTCGGTGTCAAATGGCACTCATCCACTCATACCAACGAAGCCACCGCGACATCGCATCTTGGTTCCCTCCCTTTCGGTGTCGTCGAACCCCGCCAGGACGCAAAACAGCGACGCCGCACACCCCTGAATCAATCCCCCATGACAATCCGCCCATAGCCATCTCCCTGAGCCAACTTATTCTTTTCCTCCGGTATCTGGGCTTCGTCCTTGACCAACGTCCTCAAAAACCGCGAATCTCTTGCAGTCTCCGAATCTGGATCTCGCTCCGCACACTTGTGTCTCCGAGCGACCAGATATCGAACCACTGGTTGATAGGCGTCTGATGGAGTATCCCGCGTCGTTTTGGAGCAGTTGGGAAGACAAATCTGGTTGTCGGCAGCTGTGCCGCAAGGCGTGTGGATGTCAGGACCTCGTTTCCGAAGAGCGGGCATTGCTCCCACGGCCATGGAGGATCAGGGTGTGCGAATGATTTGCGTAGTCATGAGGGTGTATTATGAATAATTCAGAATTGGCGCTCAAGACAGAGTCTGGGTTGAAAGCAGAGATGATACAGCTGGGATGATTCTAAAAGTTGTTTCGTGATTGTGTGGCATTGACACCGATCTGACTTTGGGGCCTGGGCGCCTCAGGCCGCAGTCCGCACTACACCTCAACTTCAAAAACAAAGGTAAAGACGATCAAGTTTCTATGGGGCTCCCTACAGATTGCGCTTATGGATAACAAGTCATATTCTTTTATCCATCCCGACATCTATCGAGAGATAAGCCGGTGGGAAATCGACATTTCCGGACGAAGTCTTCTTCGAGTTGGTCAACTTACAATCACGGAGAAGGGAGACGTGCGAATATCACTGCTGAGTTGCCTTACCTACTTGTGTGGAGTTCTAGATTGGCATATGCGTTTCTTCCATTCCAACGGCGTACCAAATTTCAAGAGTACAGATCACGATGGAGTTACGTGGAAGACAAAGCGATATATTCAATGTGGATGGCCCTTTGCTGCTCCAAACATACTTGTGTTGTATTTGATCAACCCTCCCTGATAGTCCAAAACATAAGGAATCATATCACACGCTTTGTGGATCTGTATGTTCACCAGAACCATCACCGTGCAGTACCTGCACCACAGAAAAGAAATCTTTTTTCACAAGCGAAGATTTCTGTGCATCCTCTTCAGCCTTCTGCGCTTTCTCCTTTATCTGATCAATGTCCACACGCATATTCGAGTCCTCCAGCTCCAAGCGAGTCATGCGGTTGTGGAGGTCTTCGCGGAGAGTTTCGCAGCGCTCGTTGTCATGAGGCTGGTTTTGAAATTCATCAAACCGTGTCTTTAGAGCGTCGATTTCCCCGCCCAATTGCTGCTTCTGTCCGTTTGCTGCTCCAAGACATTCTTCCCGCACCAATTCCTGTTGCTTGTCGATTTGGTCGCACCTTTCGGCAATGGTCCTGAGGCCAGCGTTCCGTGCCTTGGCCTCTGTTTCTAGCCTTTCAGTGAATTGTTTCTTGAGTTTGTTCAGCTCTTCGAAAATTTCCTCTCTGTGTTTGTTGCGGGCTTGGTTCGCGGATTCGAGTTCCTTAATAAATTGCTGCTCGAGTTTGTTCAGCTCTTCGGAAAGTTCCCCTCTGTCTTCTTTGCGGGCTTGGTTCGCGGATTCGGATTCCTTGATAAATTGCTGCTCGAGTTTGTTCAGCTCTTCGGAAAGCTCCCCTCTGTCTTTTTTGCGGGCTTGGTCCGCGGATTCGGATTCCTTGATAAATTGCTGCTCGAGTTTGTTCAGCTCTTCGGAAAGCTCCTCTATATCTTTCTTGTGTGCTTGGGTCGCGGACTCGGTTTCCTTGATGAACTGCTGCTCAAGTTTGTCAAGCCTTTTGAGGAATTCCTCTCTGTCTTTCTTGTGTGCTTGGGTCGCGGACTCGGTTTCCTTGATGAACTGCTGCTCAAGTTTGTCAAGCCTTTTGAGGAATTCCTCGGTGGCTTGATTCGCGGATTCGGCTTGCTCGGTGTATCGCTTGACCTTTCCAGCGAGAATCCTTTCTGCTTCCCTGCGCTCGTCCACCTCCGCCTGAAGTTGTTTTGCTACCTCCTCAAGCCTTTGATTTAACACCCTTGATTCGTCACTAGTATTGATCTCCACGGTCCTTCTAGCATTGGACGACGACTCCAGCTCCTTCCTAAAACTCTCCTCAGCGTTTGTTCGTGCTCTGGCTTCACGAGCGAGGTCGTCCTTTAATGTCTCCAATTCGTGTTTCACCGCGGCTAAATCCGACTCTAGATTGGCTGTCTTTGCGATTTGGAGCTGGAGCTCTGCGTCTCGGTTATCCCTAGGAGGTGTGTTGCCGATGGGTTGTTCCACTTCTGATTGTGCGAAGAGTGGTCGGGGCGCGTCACAATGCGATGTTGCAGTTCTGGATGAATGTTCACTTGATACATGGGCGGCTGCTATGATCCTAGAGACAACACCCGGGGCGGGCACATCTTCTGCGATATCATGCGTCTGCCGTGGCTTGAAAAAGTTGCTATCGTGTGAGCGCATAGAGTCTGTTGGTCGCTCAAGGGACGTCAGTACTTGAAGACTATAGATAGTTCGGGGTGAAGGCCTACTTGTCCCTGCCCACCATTATGGCGGTTTCCTCCGGCATGATTCTTATCCTCCTCATCGGTATCGTCAGTCACAATGGCATCGTTGCTGGACCTTCTCCGTCTTTTTATCGACCTGGGATGGCCTTTTGCCTTGCTTTGGTCATCCGGCCGATTTCGAATTTGCCCTGCTAACTTCGAAAGTTGAGTTATTTCCTCTTCGCTCCATACTGTGTTGTTTTTGTGCTCTTGAGCAGGGTTTTCCCCTCCCTGTGGTCCTATCTTTCTGTTTCTCAGCGTGTAGTCGGAGGTGACCATCGTGACGGTTTCTTGAAAGACGGGGGCAGAGGGTGGGGAAGGGGTGGACAGAGAAAATCGAGCTATTTCGTGGCTTCTCGCGCGCAGGAATCGCCAGTACTCGGTAAAGATGTAGTCTGTCAGTTTGAGGGTCTTTTGGCGTATTTGGATAGATATACGAACGTTCGACGCACTCGGTGGTGACTGCAAATCGTATCGCGGGGGGATCCATCAGCGCCTCCGCATACCTACCACTACCGGTACCAGAAGCGAGGTTCGACGCAGGCTTGCTTGGCAGAGCGATTGCTCGAATTGATCTGCCCACATGATGATCGTGTCCTATCTTGGACGCCCCTTGATGCTCTGATTTATTGATTGGAGGACTGCAGCGCGGAACTCGACTTTTGGGCCGATCGCTCTATCCCATCGAAGGCAGGTCCCTATCAGCAGGTCGTCGCCGCATTTCACCTATGCGAGGGGCTCCCCTCTGTAATGTTCTCCAAGTTCCTGCAGTCCTCTCCAGTCGCTTTATAAGGTTCGGCATCTTCCGCTTTCTCTGGTGTATCACACACACAGACAGTCATCTCTCTGCCGCGACTAGTTTCGAACAAGACCAATGGAGCTTTCGCGTATTTGCTGTGAAGAGGATACGGGCTCTTTTCCTACATCTCTCCCGTGTGCAGCCGAGGGAAGCCAGAAGTTGCGCCGGCCAAGCCAAGACAGTAACCTGTTGTGGCCCGACTTCAATCAGGTACGCTGCCATTCTCTTTAACCTAGTTTACTTGTCTGGATACCCTATTGCTTTGATGAGTCTTCTCACTCTTCTTCCAGCCATTCGCGCCGGAATTTCCTGGGTGTTACCAGTGCTCCGCAACAGAACAGTACCGCGTAGGTTTTGTCGATCTGCGGGGCGTCCTTTGCTTACAAGACAGACGGGTCTCGTTAGCACAGACAAGCGGGGTGTTCATGAGCTTCTTGGAACTTCCGACCAACGACCGCCTAAGAAACCAAGAATGGGCGAGCCCACAGTCTCTCGGCTAGATCGGACGGCAGCGGTCATGGGTGTTCCCGGCGTCGCTGGTTATAATAACCAAAGATACCATGTATGTCAAGAAGTCGGCCCTAGCGTTCTGGTATTTCGCTGATTGTCTTTCTACAGCAGAACTCACCACTTCAACCTATCGGTGAGCACCGTCAGCACGGCTTATATGCCCATCAGCATGGTTCAGATCCCTATCTAGCCCTCAATCCTCCACGCCAGCAGGTGCCTCGAACTTACCCTGGTACTGTCCAAGAGGTTCCCGTTCACGGTACCCCGGTCATTCGGCCCATCACGCGATATGTCCCGTTCCAGAAGGGCACCATGGCCTCATCTCTACCAAGTCACCCGTCCCTACCGCTCCCACTCAAACAACCAACTCCAGTGCCGGCTTTTACTCCCCTGCCGACCCTGCAGCCGCGTCCGCAGGCATCTGCACCACAAGCGACACCTTTGACTAGTGCATTTGTTAAGGAGATTTCCAAGTTAACAACAGGACAACAATGTTGCAGTCTGACTATAGAGGTTCTCATGCTCTTAGCACAACTGTCGCCCAAGAGACACAGCCCCGAAGAGATTACAACCTTCCAACATGAGGTTGAGGTCTTGAAGTCCCGGTACGCGAACGTGTTGGGTATTGACCATGCATACAAAGAGCTAGAGGCTGAAGCCAAAAGGCTCAGGGATGAAGTAAAAAGGCTCAAAAATAAAGAAATCAAGTCCTTGAAAGCCAAGGAACGGAAGTCAGATGCTCGGATACAGGAATTGGAGAGGGAGACCGAAAAGCAGAGACATGAGATGAAGGCCAATGCAGAAACATTGCAGAAGCTACGCCGGATGACACAGAATTATGCTCCTCCTACGAAGTAGGTGTTTATCCCTCCCGTCTTATTAACGACCTCTAGCCTGTGCCAGGACTTGGAGCTCCTGTTTCATGGATTGATGTTCCGGCTTACACTACTCACTACTTATGGTTTATTTCTTCTTTCGGCATGTTGGCGAACTTGCTGTTTCGGGGATTTCAGGCGTCGAAGTTTGGGGAACTTCGGTATCATTCCGGCAAACTTACCACTAAGGCTTAGTACGCATGGAAGTGGAATGTGCCAGGCTATCCAAGTGACACTACTCAATGTTTATACGCTTCTTGTCGATATACAGTGCGAGAAATAGCGCCGTTCAACGCCATAGTTGCGCACAGGATCACTGTTGGCTTTCCCCAATAGTAGCACGAACAAATAATTCCATATTGGAAACCAGCATTTAGCTGTAAGCGGAAGGCTTGTAAAATGGCTGATATCCAACGTCCCTGCTTTATTTTCGACATCGGGACAGTAAATCTCTCCTGCTGTCAGCAAGCGGCATCAAAGGTCAAACACACCCGGGCGTCACGGGAACCACTGAGTATGCGATAAGGAGCCGTGACCCTGTCACACCGACTTTCCAAAATTCGGAGGTGGAAGGTCCAGTATCCGTGGATGGCATGCAGGAGCAAGGATATCGATGGGACTCCCGTTCCCACAGACCCCTCATTCTCCGTTCTTGATTGCCCTGTTTGTTTTGACATGGTTATTTGAAAAATCCTGGTTGAGGCAGACTTGTTCCTAGGAAGAAGATGAGTCTGGGGCCAGAGATGTTTCACGACTGGAATGCGGCCGGCCCATGCTGTGAGCTAGTTACGCAGTGTAGTTGGAAAGGTTCCCTGTCCGATGCCGTCCTTACTGATGGGTGATATGTGTGAGGGTCCAATATGGTGCTGCTGAGCGATTTTCTTCACCCAATCAGTACAGGTGCACGGGGCCATCCAAGGTATCGGACAAGCTCAGGCAGGAGATTACCTTAGCGCAGCAGGTAAACCAAGAGTCTTTAGTCCTGTCGAAAGTACACTTGATTGTGTAACCTTTCAAAAGTACAGCTGGTCCACGACTGGACTGTCATGCGCGCAAATGTCCAGCCACAGCACCAACTTCTGGCGCGCGGGGGCTTTGTGCTACCTACGGGATGGCTGGGGCACTTTCGTCCGCACCCGTCAGGTGTGGGCTGGTCCGGCCCACCGGGGTTGGATGCCTTTGCATTGTCACACAACGCCTGATAGGCTGACAATAGGCAGCTGATAGCCTACACCCTATCTGCAGCTTCAGGAAAATACGAATATCTAAGCTTTCTGGGCCTACAGAACCCTGGAAACAAGCATATCCCTACCAATATCCTGCAAGGCTATACGTACTTGGCGGTTGAGATATCGGTGGTAGATATTTTGGGACATTATGGCAACTGATCTGGGCCCAGCCGAACGCTGTTAATGATGCTCTTAGCTATTTCTATTGCGCAGCGCCTCTATCCAATGCAAACTACCTTTTCTTTTTTTTTTCTTTTCTTTTTTTTTTTTTTGATCTTCGCCATGGCCCATCTATCGACACCCCGACAGACCTGCACCAAAGCAATAACTTAGTCACTTATAACTAGAATATCAAATGCCTGATGTATCTTCAGTAGACATGTTCATTGCCCATTGTGATAGTGCAATTCCCTCACTAGTTTTCCGGCACCATGGCTGTAGACTACTTTCAGGCCAAGGACATCAACGAAGCTCGGTTGGCTTTCATGTTTGCCCCCACAGCTGAAGACGAGGTCTATTCTTGTGATCCTATGGTAGCAGCAAACCCTCCGTTTCCCCAGCACCATTTATCCTAGATAATGGCCGGAACATGGGGCAGGGGAACCGTCTGGTATCTTCGCAATGTTTGACAAGGAGATCAACCACGATTCACTTAGCACTGTTCAACCGGCGAAGAGCCCGAAGCCATTTTCAACCTAGTTATGTCTTGGTACTAAGCGTGGGCGCAACCTTCAAGTTAACCATAGGAAGCCTACGACGCGCAGGTACAGCGTGAATTTAAGGACGTGGGCTGGGCTGCAACAAGTAACGGCGAGAGTGGGTTGGAACGTCTGCTTTAGCCTGGTTTTCTATTTCTACAGTATATTGTCCCATGTCTAGAGCTCTTTTTTCCCCGGAGTCGCGGGCTTCAGGAATATGGGCTCGCTCTCGACCGTTTTGCTCTTGGATATATTTGAATGTTGGATCTTTTAATGATTTTGGCGGCTGGCTTGGAAGGCATTCGCCGCATTCCTGGGGGCCTTAGTATCTCTGCTGCCAGAACATTGGGAAAAGCTCCACGTTCGTCAGCCTCTCCAATGAAGTGATCCTAAGGGTTGGGCACAGTGAAACATGGTCTCTTAATCTCAAGCCAACATGGCTACAGTTTTCATTTTGTATTTGACAAGCGGAGTGGGGGAAATGCCCTTCACTTGAGTTCGCCAATGTGGCTGGACAGTCTTAAAGCTATAGGATATCCCAGAACTGGGGCTCGTCCGTGGGCCGAGCTGGCACTTCATTCTGGCCCATGGGACATATCCTGCCGAACCAAGCCGGCCGTGGCCGTTCCTCAGGTTTAGTCAACGAACATTCACGGTCGACACAACCATACCTCTCAGAATGACAGTTAACACCATGCACAATTTCAGGTATAAGGTCCCACTCGGGGAACTCCAGGAAGGGCGCCTCATCTGTCCAGTCGGAATCCTTGTCCACGAGGCCGTAGCAATCCATGTCCGCGCGCTCCAGAATATTCTCCAAGAGCGTGACGACGTCTTCAGTTCCACTCCAATGGGTTCTCCATTGCTTGTTCCGTCTATCCCAGAATTGATACTTTGCGTCCCTGCGTCGGTAAGAGTCCATCTCTACAACCTTTTCCCTCGACGGGGGTTTTTCATGATAACCTAGGCTTGGGGATCTGAACGACGAGCAAGAAAATGTTGATATCTGCAACTGTAAGCAAACGCGGTACCAGAGATGCAAGAGGTCGACATACTTTCGATGCGGAATTAATTTTGTAAAATTTGTAGTAGTCACAAACGTCGGTGTGCAATCCGTAGACAACGGAGTTTGTCTCGCCGCGCTGCTTCCGATTCTCGTGGATAATACCTAGAACACGTCAGTGCAATGTGATACCCATGCGGCGGAATTTTCCAATGGCGCTACTCACACATATAAGCAAACAGGTCCTCCAGCCCGTCGTTACCGCCGTCCCTAACTTGAATAACAAAATACTCCCGCGTGTTCCCAGAGGTGTCCCGGAAGCCAAGGGTAAATGTTGGTTTAGCAATCAAGTAGCTGTCGCACTTGCCCTTATAAGACCCATATACCCTAACCGGGCGACCTTTGTAATATCCTTCGCGGAGCCGAGGCCGGCGATCGTACCCTTCACGGCCGAGATGCTTGATCCGATCTTTGATCAGAATGTTTATCATATCACGAAACGCGTAAGGCACCAACCACGGGCAAGAGGGGTAATGCCCTGAAAGGTTGGATATTATCTTGTCTATCGCAAAGTTAGCAGGCTGATCCTATTCGGGGGGACACGTCCGAAAAGGCAGAACCGGACATGTTCCAAAAAGCATATCCGGACATGTTCGAGAAAGCAGAACGCACCGATGTCTCCAGCTCTCTCCGACACTCCGAACGGACGCAAAGAGACTGGGTCTGTTGGATAAGGTCCCGTCTTCGCGTAAGTATATTTGCCAAGCAAATTGCAGATGTAATCCTCCCCATGGTCGAATTCTCTCAGCTCGGTGATGAGGAGGGGTCGCTGGCCGAGTTCGGGACGAGCAGCTTCAGGGTCCTGTGATAGGACTTTTCTGATTGCTTTGCAGATCATCTTCTGTTGCGTTGATTTGGAGGAATGACAGTATCGTAACAATAGGAATCCGCAATGGAGTAGGGTGTGCGAGTGGAGGATGGTGTCGAAGTAGGCCCATTTGGTGAGCTCCTGCATATCAATCATATAAAGTTTCCCCATGGCGAATAACTTGGGCAGCGGTCAAAAATATCAGCTGCAAAATAGGGGTATTTTTGACAACTAGGCTAAAGGGATTGATCCGACCTAGTGGCCACGAGTGCAGTTTTTATTAGCTGACAGGAATGACTCTGGCTTTAGAGATGGAGGTAAAGGATGACAGTATGAAACAAATGTGAGTCATGATGGTATATGTTCCAATGTTGGTGCCTCGTGAAGTTCAATCCGGGGGCCGGGGCCCGATCCGTCGGATGATTCGCCCGGCGGAGTTCAGTTGCGGCCCCATCCTCCCCTCCTCATCTATTTCTTTCATCATCACCAACCATCATTCTTAACAGCGAAGGGCTGTCCAATCAATATCTTTCAGAAATTCACTCTCCAATGGCCTTTCGGTCGCGGTCGAACTCTGACTTAAATGCCCTCCCACAGCGCCCAGACCAGGGAGGCGCCTGGTTTCGCTTCCGCACGTCACCAACGAAGTTTCTCGCACAATACGTTTACAGCCAACGCTCCACTGCGACCCTATCTACCCCCGAGACCACCGACGGAGGCCGAATATCGGTTGTCTGCATCTCCGACACCCACAATACGAAGCCCAGCTTACCCGATGGCGATATCCTCATCCACGCCGGCGACCTCACACAGTCGGGGACGAGATCAGAGCTTGAGCAACAGATCGACTGGCTTGACGCACAACCTCATCGGTACAAAATTGTTATAGCGGGAAACCACGAGCTCTGCCTTGATGCAAATCATCCCAGCAACGATGGCAAGGAGGACACCCGCCTAACTCTCGATTGGAAATCCCTCATATATCTGGAAAACACGTCAAGGACCATCAGGTTTGCCGACAGTCGGGTGCTGAGAATTTTCGGATCTCCTCATACCCCTAAGCACGGCAACTGGGCTTTCCAGTATCCGCGCGCCTACGCTGGCGTCTGGGATGACATGGCCGTCCCCGAGGACACGGATGTCTTGATTACGCACGGTCCGCCAAAAGCGCATCTCGATCTTGGGCATCTCGGCTGCCAGTCCCTTCGGCAGACGCTCTGGAGTATGAAACGCCGGCCGCTACTCCATGTTTTCGGACATATTCATGGCGGTTACGGGAAGGAAATTGCCCGCTGGGACACATTTCAACGGGCTTACGAGGCAATAATGGATGAACACTGGATATGGCTGAATCTTATCGTGCTTGTGTACTGTTGGATACTTGGCATCTCCACAGGATGGGCTGCAGCCGGCAAGCAAGAGACTGTCATGGTCAATGCGGCGGCAGTTGGTGGAGTGCGGGATGAGAAGAGGAGAGAAGCTATTTGCGTTGACCTCTAGATTCGGACAAGCATGAACTGCTTTCTGGAGGTTCAACGATACCCGGTACAAGGGGCATCAGAGTTGACTAATAGCGTCGAGTTGTCAATTGAATTCCGAATATGTTAGTGCATATTTCCCTCAATCTATCGTTGCAATCCACCAACTGATCCTAGACGTCTACCTTGCCTAACCGATGTCGGTAGCGTGACTATCCGTCACTTTGCTGCAGATGGGTTTGGTCGGTAGTCTCGGCGAAGAGACGGGTACCTATCACCCAGCCCCTGAAGCGTTCAACGTCACCTCGCTAACTGCATAGGACGAGGAGACGCGGCCTGCGTGGGTTCCGAGCCACGCGATCACCAAATTGAAATCCAATGACAAGACAAGCATTCAGCACGGGATGGTACCAAAACCAAGCCGGCTCTTGGCCATCTTGGCTTGACTAGGAGTACAAGCCTCTTGGCAAGAATATTTAACAATCGTCTATGCAGTCGCCTCTACTCTTGCACGGTCGTTCCCAGCACTCTTCTGTCAGCATGCGTCTCCCCTACAGTACTGGGCTTCTCCTTGCCCTCGGTATCGGTAGCTCTACCGCACTACTGACAGCGAACCTCCACATCGCCTCGTTGTCGACAGAGCTTGAATCCGACCAGACAACGTTCTATTACGGTCTATCAAGAAACAGCGGTCTGTTAATCGGGAACGATGGAAGTGCGGCGACTGGCGGCTTGCGGAGCTTCAATTTTCATGGGCTGAACGAGACGTCCGGAGCGACGCCCGGACGAACCAAGGTTCTCGGGGTCTTGTATGGTAATGATCACAAAGATATTATCGTTTCCATCGCGGCGCCTGACTCCGTCATTCGCGTTTTCGATGTTAATGGCTTGGATGAAATACCCTCTACGCACAAGAAGGCGCTGGGCGATTGGTCGGCTTTGTGTACGTGGACGAGTCCGAGCGGTGGAAAGTATTTCTACCTCTTTGGGAAGAAGAAGGCAATTCAGTTCCTAGTGCGCACCAATGGCTCGCAGGTCGAAATTTTTGAGGTTAGTCTAATTGTCTACTGTTTCCTCCGCACAAGTACTGACAGAATCAGGTCCAAACGTTCCCGCTTTCCGTCGAGCCAAGCTCTTGCACTGTCTCTCCTAGAGATGACTTTGTTTATTTCGCCGCTGAAGATGATACCGTTTACAGATTTACGGCCGCTGAGTCAACTACAGCTCCAGAGATTGAGACACTGGGGCTAGTCAGTGGCGAGATATCGGGCCTCTCTGTCTACGTCTCAAGAAGCTCGTACTATTTGTTCGTGACCCAGGAGGACATAATTGAGATCTATACACCCGACTTCGAACCAATCGGATCTCTGACCGTGACGGGTGCCGAAGATATCGAGATTGCCGGAACGTCGATCTACCAGTCAAACTCCACCCACTACCCATATGGACTACTGGGCTTCGCGATTGAAAGTGATTCGGGTAACGGGTTCGGCGTGGCGTCACTCAAGCCCGCATTTACTGCTTTAGGCCTTCAGTTAAACACTTCTTACACGCCGCGCAAGAGCTCTGAACATGGCCTGACGCAAAATGGCTTCCTCAGCACCAACGGTACGCTTTCCTGTTTCGCTGGTTTTGCTGGTAGCAACTGCACCCAAGTTATATGCCGCAGCGGGTGCTCTGCGCACGGGGCTTGCATCGGGCCTAATGAATGCAAGTGCGACAGTCCCTGGGCTGGACCTGACTGCTCCTGGATCGAAGTCCCTGCAAAGTACGAGACTGACGCGAACGGCGGCGACGGCGATGACCCGGCTATCTGGGTGAACCCCACGAGCCCCAATCTGTCGACCATCATTACGACTACCAAGTCCGAAATTGGCGCGGGTTTGGCTGTATTTGATCTGAAGGGGAAATTGCTCCAAACAATGGCTGCCGGCGAGCCGAATAATGTAGATGTTATGTATGCGTTCCGAGCTGGGAATCGGACGGTTGATCTTGCATACGCTGCCTGCCGGCAGGATGATACTCTTTGGTAAGTTTCCTTACTTTTTATTCCAATGCCTTGCTAATAATAGCCTTAATCAGTCTGTTTGAAGTCACATCGGACGGTCTCCTAACCCCGATATCCGGCGGCGTTCAACCGACGCCCGACGACTACACAGTCTACGGCTCCTGCACCTACCGATCACCGCTAAGCGGGAAACAGTACCTCTTCGTAAACGAGAAGTCAGGCACCTACCTCCAATACGAACTCACCTCGTCGCCCAATGGAACTCTCGCTACATCGCTTGTTCGCTCCTTTACCGGCGGTTCGGGCGGCCAGCCGGAGGGATGCGTCCCGGACGAAGAGAATGGTTACATCTTTCTTGGCGAGGAGCCATATGGACTTTGGAGATATGATGCCGAGCCACATGGTTCCAACAACGGTACGCTCGTTGCAAAGGTCGGCGATGGGACGCTGCACGCGGATGTCGAGGGCGTTACGCTTTTACCAGGAAAGACGCCCGAGCAGGGGCTGTTGGTCGTAAGTTGTCAGGGAGTCAGCGCGTATTCGGTGTATCGCCGTCAGGCGCCACATGAGCATGTTTTGACATTTACGATTGGTGAGTCTGAGGATGGGGTTGTCGATGGAGTGACGAATACGGATGGGGTGGCGGGGTTGTCGACGGGGTTGAATGAAGATTTCCCACATGGATTGCTCGTGGTCCATGATGATGCGAATCAGCTGGCCGACGGTGGTACAGCCGAGTTGGCGAGCTTCAAGCTTGTGAGTCTCAAGGATGTGCTGGGTGCAGGAGGCGTCGGGCTGTTGGGTGAGGTTGATGATGGGTGGGATCCGAGGGCTTGATGCCCCTCTCAGGAACGCTGCAAATCTCAACGGTCGTTATTTCTGTGCGCCAATGCGCCTTCTAAGCTCTTCACAATCTGGAACCTTGCTTTCAGCTCAATGCTCATAGACCCTGATACTGCCAAAAAGACACTCGAGGTCGTGATCTCCAGATCTAAGTCAATCCCTCCCTTACACTCGGGCAGTCCATACGCTTTGATGTCCATCTACCGGAGCATACTGGCGGCCGATGACACTCGTGTACCGATATTAGACCGGTTGTGCGAAGACCTCTCAAGTAACGCCAGCGACACGTTCACAAGGGCAGACACATGAAGATAGAAACTTTGGGTTGGCCCGGTCCCGGCGAGGTAAGACGCCGTGCAACAATCCCAACGAATGTTCGCATATTGTGCATTGCCGATCCCTGAACGTCATGCCGGATACCCTCCGAGACTCCTCGGTAGCCGGTCCTGACCTTATCGAAGGCTCCGCTAAGGGACTAGACTGGGGGTGGGCTTCACTGTGCGGTACCGCCAGGGGTTGAGAGGGGCAAGGTGAAGCTTCATGCCGTTCCGCGAATTATATTATATGTAATTTTCTTTGCTAGGCGCCTCGGGACAACAGCTTCTCGGACACGAGATGAGCTCACCGTTGCTGGTGATCAATGGTTATCTGTGCTCATAACCGGCGGCGAATAGCGATGCTCGACATCTGTACCGTACACCGGCCATGACCGTGCTCAACGAAAGCTGCCCTTATCATGCTTGTCGCAGAGTAATACCGGACACCCAAGATATTCCTCAAGAAGTCAGCATGGGGCCTTTCCTCGCCGTTCCTTTTCCAGCTGAATACTTCCTTAGCCGGTATAACTTTCACAGATGTCTCTTGTCATGCTAGGGGCGCCGCAGTCAGAAATGCATCATGATCGGCGAATTTTAACGTTGGCTGACCACCAATGCAGAACCCGATGCGAAGGAAAACGTGCATTCTATACTGCACCGGATTGCATCCCGAGGCATAGAGGCGTTGGCCAAGCGGTGTCATCCACAATACCAGGTGTACTATACAACCAAAGTACATCGAAGTACGTGGAAATCAATGGGGGAACGGGGATTGCCTGCCTATAAGGGTCCGCCTCCGGTTTATTTTGCAGTCTGTCGTGCAGACATTCCAGGCGCCGTCTGTGGGCGTCGGGGAATTTATCCCGATCTTATGACTTCTCTCGCCCGCATATTTCATATATCGCTCGAGATTGAACCCATTCGCACAGCCGGCGTCGCCGATCTTGGTCCCAAGTTGCAGTACCATCCCGAAAAGAGTTCATTCACGCTCCTTTTCTGCCCATGGCATCAGGTTCATCGTTTACGAAAGGCCTGCAGGCCACAGCTATTATAACAGGATCAATGCTGTCCGGTAACTTCCCAGCCCAAATATTCCAGCCCTACCGCAGACTCTATTTCTAACAGTTCAGGCTCAATGATGACAATAACCTTCCTTACGATCCCAGTCTGGCTCGATACGATCACGACCTCAACCCCCCTCCTGCGCCAATGGCTTCGCATGTACCACTACGGACACCTTGGACACCCAACAATGGCCGCCACTACCCTCATATTATACGCAATATCTGCATGGCGACGGAGATCCAAAGGAAGACCATGGGGGAGTCTAGTAACCGCCGGGGGAGTTACGATGCTTATGTCTGCCTTCACGCTGCTGGTCATGCTGCCGACGAATAATGTGCTCTTTGAACATGCTACAAGGAATCCTGGGACAGAGTCAATGGAATTCGAAGAAGCGAGGGCATTGGTCATGAAGTGGGGATGGATGCATCTAACTCGATGTTTTTTCCCACTTATTGGGGCGGTGATTGGGATGGGCGACATCCTCGGGCCTTGAGCGTCCGGACTTGCACATATAACGGGTTGCTAGAGATGGGAAGCGACAAAGGAGTTAGATTTTGAAGATCTCTTATCTGTTTGTCTTTGCTTGTCTCCTCACTGGCCTAAACATCTAATTCTGATTTGGATTCATTTTCCCCAAAATATCATCTCGGTAAATTTGAGGCACTGCATATAAAAGCAAGGTCCCTGCCTACGGTAATCGGCTTTTGCTGACCTGTGCGATACAGGTTATATTTTATGTTAACTTCATTTCCTTGCCTGAGCGTCAGGGAAAGTCGTCTTTGGGTGGAGAATAAGGCATGGTCCATCTTGTCCTCATGCTTGTCGCACATGTGCAAGGCAAATCACCCCGCTCCCATTACACAATATGCACCTGAAATAAGGCTTTCCTTCATATATATAGGCCATAGATAAGCAATGTTCCCGGCCACGTACGGCTGCCCGAGGGAATGATTCCACCTCCTTCCTCGCTATGTTTACTTCGTCAAGGTCCTATCTTTAACAAAATGCTTTCTATGCTCTTTTTATTATTTTGTAGCGTTTACTCTTGTCTCCTCCCCAGCTCAACCCCTGCGAGTAGGTAGTTTATCCTCAGGACAGACGTCGAATATATATCGATGTTTTTGGCGGCGGACTCCGCCGACATGGTACGAGAATTCTTCGCGCTGGAGAGTAAGATCAAGCAATATAGCCACCTTGCTCAACTCAGTGTCCTTGTTTTGAGGGTGGACAATCATGGATAAGAGCTGAAGGCTTATTTTATAGTTTTGGGTCTTGATTTTGGTACTGAGACCCTGGCCGAACACCGAGTGTGGTAAATGCCTTAGGATTCGGGCCAAGTAATCACGTGAACGCTAGTTATTTAACTCTTCTGTGGCTTAGAGTTTTCACTACCATGTTTAGTATCCTTGCACAAAGGCACCTAAGTACCCACCACGGAAGCCAAGTTTCGAATTCTTGGCCCTTCACTTAGCGTACGCTGGCTGTAAATTAAGCGTATCTTACTTTATAGAACATTATTGGAAGGTGTATTTATGCCTGAAATTTAGCCACGTTACACCTGGACTGTTGGCTTGGCGGCACTTGGCCATGAGCCAAGAATTCGAAACTTCGCTTCCATGGTGGGTACTACGAATACTGTATTTTGCTTGGCCTTCAGCATTTAAACACCCAACTCGACGAAGGCCCGAAGGCCGTATAGGCTCTGGTTTGGCCTCCCTAAATTCGTCTTCTCTGGTGTTTTCTGTCTGGCGCTTCGTCGTCTGCTCCGCAGTCATCTGGTCCGCTGAGATCTTCTGACTCGCTTTATTTGGCCTGCCTGCGGGCGCTGGGTCCGAGATTTGGAATACTGAGTGTGGTGCATGCGTTGGATTCAGGCCGACAGGTTATGTGTATACTAGTCATATACCTGCCCCGCGCCTCAGAGGTCTCGGTACCATGTTCAGTATTCTCGCACAAGGTGCCTTAGTACCACAAATGCAGTAGGGATTCTGCTTGGCCTCCCGCAGTAGTCTTCCGTTGACGCGGTCGCTATATATTTTCGACCCGTTGCAGAAACAGCTGCTAATAATCTATCACTAGCAGCTATCTCTGACGGCTAAGGTTACAATATACTATATTCCATCTCTCTAGGGCCACATAAGAACGCAGACACAATTTCCAGTTCCAGGAGCCGTTGCGCAAGCGGCACCGAAATAAAGCTGCCATAAGCGCCATAAGCGCTATCCAGCTACACCGCCACACCGCCAAGCCACACCGCCAAGCCCCCGGCGCGGCGGCATGGTCAGGTCACGTGACAGCGCCCACCAACAGTCCATCTCTCCTTCCTCCCGGGCTGCTGCCACTCTCACTTTCTCTCATGAAATCACAGCATCTTGATTCACTACCTAGGTACCGTCCACTGCCATCCCTATCAGCAACTGACTGCCACCAGACCAAATACGGCGAGGCTATGCGACACTGTTCCTGCATCTCTGCAAGGGAACCCCTGTTGCTGGCCGCCAGCAAAAACCCGATATTCTGCGAAACATAACGACAGAACAAGGCCCGTGTCAACCGAGCTGAAAGCAGGCCATGGCCACCTGGGCTGAGAGGGATGCATATATACTGGGCGTGCTGTCTCCAGGGAGGATTGATATTTCATTATCTCCTACACCCAGCCTCAACAATTTCCCACAGCATGACCCGATTTGGATCCAGATTCCGCATCACTGATACTGAGACAAGAAACCTATCGTCGCCAGTTTCGGCAATGGAAAGCACATGCAGGTGGATACGACCAAAGCGCCCACGCTTAGCAGGCCACCAGTTTCTTTGTCGGAACTGAGCGTCGCCAACTTATAGGCAGTAACCGCCCCGCCGACTCAGACCCGAATCGGCAACATCTAATCCAATGTGGCCCGGTATCAATTCGCATGCCACCTTTAACCGCACCATTGCCATTGAGACATAGATCTCGGGTGAATTGGTCTATCTTACCCTCTAGCGCGTCTCAGCCTGGTATATAGTCGGCGAACTACCAAGCACGACGAACAATGTCTGGCTAAACCCGTACCGCAAGTTGCGCCCTCAAGCAAGATGTTCTCATGTCGCAGACCGAGATCAAGTCAGCATTGGTGTTGGGCAGCCTCCCTCTCGCTTTGCTCAGTCTAGGCACATATCCATGCTAGTCAGGCGGCAAATCAAAGCCATCGTTCTTTCCGCAAACAAGAAACTGGTTATCAGGCGCAATCCACGACCTGGAATGTTATCGGCTTCGGATAGGAAAATCAAGTTACTATTCGACGACAATTTGTATTATTGAATTTTCTTTGCCGTATGGTTTGCACAGACCAGGCCATCATTGACGCCCCTTCAATTGTTAAGAATTCATCCACTTCCCTCCGCGTCTGATCTACTATCTGTGCAAAGGAGCGTTCAGCACGGCTCAAAGGCTCTTCGGGCAGGCCACGTTGCTGTGCTATCCATTCAATGCCAGACCCAGCAGGTCCATGGAGTCGCGACATCATCGCTCTGCGCCGCTTTGGATGATGTGGGAGAGGCGCGAAAAACGGACCAACGACTACGCCATTACATATAGCCTGGTCTCTCCGCGATCTGCTTCACACTAGAGACTTCCTTACTTTATTTGGGAATCTTCTGGACATTACAAAGGCATCGGCTGGCGGCGCTCTGTAGCGACGTGAGAGTTTCAGGACTTGGACCGCTTAGCTGAACAAGAGGTTCACCCTCTCAAGTGCATCACAAGAGACTCGCCGCCCTCGGTCGGCGCTCGACCAATCCTAAAGATGTTGTACCGCACGCCGCCCAACGCAGGTTTTCGCTCGACCCAGTGTTTTATGTGCCTGGACGTCAGTACCAGTCTCAGACTTAACGCCCCAGCTAAGAAGTGGTTCCTGGATCACAAAATCTGCCAGATGCAACATTTTTTGAGTCTATGGACATGTCATCCAACCAGCCAGCACCCAACGAGCAGCTGTCTCGACATTACTCTGGCATAGAATTCGTTCTTCAATGGTGGGGATTGCTGATGTTCACTGCGCAATGAACGTACATTTCGTCGCATCTGGTCCTCATAAAACGACGAGTCCGGGGTCTCTGAATTGATGCCTTTGGAAAGGCAGCGCTCTACACCATCTTCGACCAGTCCACGATTTCATCACTAAATTGAGCCGGTGACACACTGCGTATCTTGAGCTGCGTGCTTGATTATGAACTTCTATCTTTCCCCCGTTTTATTACCCTGACTACCTCCAGTCGCCATTACACACCGAGAACTGCGATGAAGCCAAGTCATCGTCCGGTGGTTTCTTGTGCAATGCAGCCATCTGCCATGGGCCGACTAGCAGTTCAAATGTTACATCCCGCTTATACTCGGGGCTGGCAGCCGTTTGTCAGTCATCACGTTCACATCAGCCCCAGCCTCAGCGGCTACTTGTGGAGTCTGTTGCATCAGTATCCAGCCGGGCCCGTTTCTATTCCACCCTCCGCCGATTGTTCACCGCGGAATCAAGTTCAGGATTCTGTCTATGATCTCCGCAAGGTATGTGTCAGTTATTTGGCCACTGGATATCCTACGGCCCCCTTCCTGCAGGTACATCCTTTGTTCAGATTGTCCCCTTCGCCTTGACGAGCGATTTACTTTTCAACCGGTCCCCACGAAACACGCTACTCACCGTGCGTTTCGCCGAAGCCGAACGTCCAGTAAATCGCCCTTGAATGCTACATCTCCGCCCCAGGAGTGGCTCGGCAGGTGTCGCCGGATTCCTACGTGGGAATGAGTTCTGACCCCTCGTTCTCTCCCTTGCAATTCCACATGTTTTACCAAGTTATGCAGGGGATTACGCGAGCCCTTGGTCATGATTGTATTGATATGTACACGACAAAAGGCGTCACGCGGAGGACCCCCTATAGATCTCGCGGTTTCCATAACACTTCTCTTTGCACCCAGAAGCGACGCCTTAAGACCTGCGCGCCTTTGTTGCGGAGTTTTGCACCTACACCGCAACAGTCACTATAATCTCATTCAGGGGGGTAATCAGTCCCCAGCTACTGTTAGACCACGACGTTAAACAGTGACTACTCCGCCTAGCAGCCTCTACTCACAGCACAGACCTATGTGGCTGCTTCCCAGATCTTTTGCTGAAGGTTATGCGTGTCTTGCGCAGTACAGGTGTGAATGCTCATTGATGCAACACCGGTCATTTCAGCACCGGAAAATCCCATCTTCGTCTAGTCTCCGCATCCCAAAAATCGTGCAATGGACATTGTATCCTCCGGTCTCGATGGCATCCAACTGGCGGGTGTTTGCTACGTAGAAACTGGACTCTGAAATGTCGAACATAAGGAAGAATATCGGAGACCAAAGGTTGTTCTGGTCTTAACTCATGATTAATTCACAACTCATGATTTTCCACAACTCTCATGTGAGGGGAAGCTTAGGTAACTACAGTCAATCATACATTACAGGGTGTCATGGAGGGCGCTGTTGGCGTTCGGAATCCGTCCACCTCCTCACGTCGGCGGCCTAAGGGATCTTCTACGGACGACAAAACATCGCTTTCGTATCCCATGACTGTATCTCCTGGGCGACACCAAGGATCATTAGCGCCCGGTCTTGCGGTTTCAATCCCAGGCCTGCCCGCCTCTACCCGAAGCCCAATGGACCCGTCAGTTTCGTGGACAATACTATCTATCTTATTCCCCTAGAACATCCAACAACACGCCCAGGCGAATCCGAACAGCTCAATTTTCACGGACGAATCCATTTTTGAACACCACCGGATCGCTGTTTCCCCACCAGTTTCCTTGCCAGCCTTCCAGATCACTCGCAAGATAATATTGGCCAACTAATTGCCTTCGCTCCCTCGAAAGTTGGCACCGTGGACAACCCCGCTAGGCAAGTGCAAGAATCGCGAATGAACGGCGTCAATCATCCCCGCCAACCAGAACAGAGGTTTCGACGGTTTGCGAGGAAATCTGCGTGAGAGCAACCTTGACCGCGACCGCTCGTAATATATGCATCACATTTGGCATCTGCCACCTGTGGTACAGGCACTCTTTAGAATACGTACAACGCCCAATGTTACGGACTACTCGCATTTCATCACATGACGGGAGCGCGATCATGCCTGCCATCCCCGCCAGGAATACTGCTATTCCCCATGCCTTCATTCAAACCTTCGTCCTGGGCGAACGTCTAGCCTCCCTTTTTCCAGGTAGCCATTCTGCCACAGGCTGCTCTACTGATATTCCACGTCGGCTCATTCAACTTCTTACTGCAAAGCATCCACATTCCTCGTAGCTAGGTCGTCTGATACCCCGGTTCAACGAAAGTCGGGATCACCTGCGAGACCACAGCGCATCACGTCCCCTTGCTGAATCTCGAGCTCGCCGGGAACGACGACGCAGCGTATATCACCAGGATACTGATTCGATGTGTTCAGCGGCTTCGAGGGGAATAAATATCGCATGAAGTCTTCCCAATGCTACTTGTATACGGTTCCTAACTGTGCTGATCTCAGCACTTGATTCTGTATTATCTCTCTTTATTTTTGGCTTCAATGGAGCTATATATTATTGTGGAGGATGAAGTGGCCTTCCTCCGTCCATCGGCGTTGTATCTTTAGATGAACTTCAATTTTAACATGGATGGGTAGCCTCCAGACTGTCTCGAGAAATGGACCATTGGTCACAGTGTGATTCTAGGATGAGGTAGGATAAGGTACCTCCAACGCTCCACCAAACTCACATGTAATCCATAGAGCATCCTTGTTCCCAACCGCGAGCCACCGTACCCCTCACAATTTCAACCCTTTACTTGAATGACAAGGCTCAATTTGGCGGTGAAGTTCTAGAGCATTTTCAATTCATATTGTAGCTCTTCTTGGGCTCGCAAGTTCAACCCCACCTACAGCGAGATGTCTTTGAAAGACCTCTGCGTTGAAAAGAGAACGCCAACACAGCTACACAAGCAATCCGGCGAGCTCTATCGCGAGACTGTCTCAAGGTACGCCAATGTCATCAACCTCATGCAATAACAACTTTGCCTCAAGTGTCCTGGGGTGCCAACTTCAACTGTGTCTCGGGGCTGTGTTAAATCTTCCCCCGCCGGACTAAGGCCGCCGCATCACATCGTACAACTTAGGCGCCGAGAAAGGAGAGACGTTGTGGAACCAGAGCAGTAATATTCCCAGTGGCTGGCGCGCATGACCAGAAAAGGGACTTTTGTTGCCTTCCTATTCAAGGGTTGGCCAGAAGTACACGATTGAATTCCTTTCACATTCTGTAACTAGTACCGTATTTGGCTCTAGGCTGAATCGGGAGCTTTAATATTGATTCAGGTGTGTATTATTGGTAATATCCATCAAATCGATCAGTAACAAAACCGGTGTTTGGACAAATATCCCTGCCAGCGAAGCCGCTCAAACGTCGGGTAAAAAAGCAAAACGCGAGGGGGGGAGCTGCGTACAGTCGCCTGACTTCAACAGTCCAGAGTTGATCCACCTGGCAAGCATTCTCTCTTTCTCACACCTGGAATCATTTATTTTCAAGGCTCGTTCCGTGGTAATTTATTCTAGTCTTCTAGTCTCGCCAATTCTTTCTTATTGCTGTATCTCTGGAAAAGCCCTCACCACACGCTTAGCAACGGCGAGTCTTTGGGAACATGCCCGGGTGTAGTGCGGAAGAAAGGTGGACTCCAGAGGAGAATCAAAAACTTCTAAGCCTACGGAAACAATATAGCGACTTGCCATGGATTGAGTTTCACAAGGTACCTACTCCTTCGCGTGCCCATCTTTTGTTTTCATCGCAGGCACTGTATTTGCTTTCCATCGGGCGCAGCTGACTTGTTGCCAACTCCAGAAAAATTTCTTCCCCAACCGAAGTCAACAGGCCATAACTATTCAATATAACCGTTTGAACCCTGGGGCCCCTTCGCGCCGCGGACGGCCAAAAAAGACAACGACAGCTACTTATCCTGTTCGATATGAGCCTCCCACCCCTTCCACAACGCAACAACAGTCCGATACGTCCCACGGGGTGAGCGATGGTAACAGCGAGGATACAGACTTAGGTCAAGAAGAGATGAATGACGGCGAGAGCAGTGAGTCTGAAGATGGCGAGATGAGTGAGTCTGAAGATGGCGACGCTATGTCTTTAATGACACACGAGGAGTCGGTATGTCGACGGATAATCCTTTTGTGGCGTTGTAATGTTCACTGTATTGGTATATCTAGCTAACATGCCTACCTTCAAAATATAGGTTGATCCACAGTCACCGCGAGAGCCATCAGCTGCCTCGGGTCAGTTGTCCGAGTCGACAACCGCTGAAATACCGCCTGCACCACTCCCAGAACGATCGCCAGCCGACGATTTCGAAATTGAAGCTAATGAGTACCATCGTAGACAGGTTGAGAAGATCAGAGTACTAGAGTACATGCGGTTGAACTCTCTGGCGCAAAGTGGTGTCTTACAGGCCAAGCTGAATGATGAAATCCAAAAGAATGCCGGCCTGGCCTATCAAATCACAGAGTTGACAGAGGGTATGAAGAAGTTAGAGGACGAGTTGGATGAGGTGGTTGAGTTGCGGGATGCTGTTAAGCGGCTGGGGAAATCAGTGGTATTGAACATGATTAGCGTCTTGTTTTCTGCTTCTGCGAAGACCTAGATTGTGCAACTTAACTCATAACCCCACAAGTGATTTTATGTTCTTTCCTCCTCTGGCTTCATAGTCTCCCTACATCAGGTGTTGGATTTGTAACTAGCGTGGATGGCGTGAAAACCATAGACAACAAAGTCCTATGGGTGACCCTAGCCTTGGTACACATATCAGTTTATAATTTAATTCTGTTTCTTCCTTTCTGCCTGGCGAGCTCCATGACACTCAGTTGGCTATCGACTGTCCGCTAAAACAAACAGTTTTGCCCGGTCTTGACCACGGCAGAGTGAAATAAAGATTCAAAACGTCCCAGGTAGCTCCCATAATCCTTATATTACGGTATCGCGTCTCGACTCCAACGTTTACAGCCCAGCGCCGACCTGACTCGATCGCCTGTCACCTTCGCAGGTTCTTGACGTTGATTTTAAGTTACCCGACCGACTGTCATTTTATTGGCATTGGCCCTCGTACCTGTCCGGGGTCCCAGGGTCCAATCCGCCCTGGTTTCCCTCGATTTTTACACGCTATAACAGTGCTAGGCGATAAGTATTCTACTGCACAACCAACCTTTCTTTTGAGTAAATCACCCCAGCCTCAAGGGAAAGCAAAAGAAGCACACGAGAAAAGAGGTCCGGAAAGCGATGGGAGAAGGAAGTTCGAAGAACACAAATGACTTGTCCGCTTGATTTGTGAACATTGGGATCTTACATGGGAAGAGGTCAGCAAAAGTTCAATAAAAGTTCAATCATAGCGGTAGACCACGAGACTGAACATAGTATCCATATCATTTCACATTTCAACCTTCAAGATCCTATTCTGCGTTCTCAACGGAACCTCTGAACTGGCCGTAAGCCGTCTGGCCGCGATTACCGTCTTTCCTTCGCGCCGTCGCTGTATTTCACTAACTAACTATGCTCCATAGTGTATGCTATGATTTGTCCGCTGTTGGGATACTCAGAACAGCCCGGCACGAATGGCATTTGCAAAGCTTTCTGCCGCTGCCCTGGTTTCAAGGTCCTGGGACCCAGAATCCAGGAACATGACCGAGCTCAAGGCAAGTGACGTTGCTTGTGGGACATGCATTGAAACAGGCTTACAGGACGAGTTTTTGCTTCGTCTATCCATGGCTGAGTTGGCATGCTGGCGATGTCGGTGGCTTTGTCTAAGTCTGAATACAAGTACTCCGTACTCGCAAGTGATATGAACATGTCATCTAACTCACAAACTATGGATGTCAACAAATATATCGATATATATATATACAGCGTCATGGTGATTAGTACAGGTGGATACTATGGTATAATGTTTGGGTGATCCCACCCTTTAAGCTTCGTAATTATACGGCTGACGGGGAGGTCCACTCGCAGCATCTTGGTGTGTTCAACCTTGGAGTTCTCAACTTGCAGCTCCAGTGGACGGTGGCATGGCGGGAGTATTGAATAGCTTTGCCGCATTGCCCAATACCCCAAGCACCTGGGAAATTTCCTCCAGCCTTTGAGATTCAACGTTTCTTTCCTTCCTCATCTCCTTTATCTCCTTTCTCGTCTCTTCGACTTCCTTTTCCATAGCTAGAAGCTTTGCATTTCCTAATGATAACTGCTGAGTTTGAACTTCAAGTCGGGACTCCAGGTCAGCTATCTTTTGCCGGAGAGCCGTGTTTTCGGTTGGCCTCTCGCCTTGTGCCATGCTCTCTTCGATGCGGATTCGCGTCAAGCGAGCGAGAAGGTGGACGGCCCCATCAAGGCATTGATCTCCAGTTAGCTGCTCTATATATTGCTTGTTAGGCTCGCCTGGCGGTGATGGTGGCTGCGAGGTGGGTGGTGGTGGTTGGGGAGCAGGTTGTTGATAAGTTGGCTGTTGATGACTTGGCTTTTCATGAGTTGGCTGCTGGGGGGTTGATTGTTGATGGGTTGGCTCTTGGGTGGTTGATTGTGGGGTGGGCGGCTTTGGTGGTAGTTGCAGAGATGAATGGCTCGGCATGGGGCAGTTAGAATTAGCGGCCTGAGTGACATCACTATTGGGCGTATTTGGTAACGTAGTTGCTTGTGGGGTTAATGTAGGATCTCCCGCTATGGTAACTGCATGGTTTGACCGGGATTGAGGAATGCTTGGTGACATAGTATGGATATCGGCTTGAGAGGTGGCAGATGCCATCCTCTCGGCTGAACGGCGCTGTAAAGGGTAGGTGTGAGATCGAATGTCTGGCCTAGACTTTGAAGCTTCGTCGGGCGCAGGAGTTCTTACTCCATCAGGGGAAGTATGTGACTTTGATTTGCGTTGTATTTCGGACATCTTGTGCTGTTGCGGCCGGAAGGATTGTACACTCATCGGGCCATGGAGAGGGTTCTCGTGGGGACGCGGTACAGCCGGCGACTGACGTGATAGACTCTGCAACGAAACCTTAATGGACGAATGGGTTTGATAAAATAATGTCTCGACGTACTGGTTGCCTTTGGCCACTGAACTCAATATCTCCGCCGTCGTCACTGCTTTCATCCGCGGTATGATCATATAGTCTGGGTTCTTTTGGCAGTCGACGCTTCAGATATTCTGAACTGTCTCCCATGGGACGTTTGGCAGGCTTGAAAGCAGTGGCATGTCCATTCCTTCTGTCCTTAATGGATTGCATTCGTCGTTCAGCATCGACCCTTTCCATTTTCTGCATCAAATGAGCAACGAGGTCCCGCAGAAGGGCGGGTTTGACACAACATACTTGACACTCCTGAGTTATGGCAGACTTGGATCGACCGGGAAACTGGGGTCCAACGACCTAAAAGACCAGTAAGAAGCTGTGAGCAACGGGTACAGAAGCTTGAAGTGATAAAAATGAACAAGAGAGAAGAGCGGGACAACGTACTTCATAGAGCTGCGTCCAGGTCAGGTGACTGAGCTCCTGGCGCAGCTGCCACAGCATGGTTCTGTCCTGGTCCGACCAAGGCTGCGACGTAGAAAGGTTTGTTCTTCTGCGGACAGAGCGCGGGGATTCGGCCATGTTCGCATTTCTGAAGAGCTCGCCTTTGTAGGGTGAGCTGGGCAAGGGGGAAATCCCCAAGGACAGACTGACGTTCGATGGGTATCCTGCCCTCACAGTCGGCACGCCCGAGTCATTCTCTCGTGCAGGGATCTGGCTTGGGGGGAGTGGAGTAGTCGGCACTATCATGTCCACAGCCCAGCATCTGAGACGCTCAGGTAACGAGAAGGATGGGCTAGATGTTGTCCCGAGGATGGATGCCTGCGGGTAGCCGTTGGGCAGTCGATAGATCAGAGTTTCGAAGAAACGAAGGAAACAACTGTCGAGAGATGCAACAGGGATTCTCGTCCGTTCGGTTGCGTTGATGTTGGTCTGGAAAAGGAACCTTGGAACTTGGACGGGGAAGGCGCACCCCGCTGCCGCACAGGTGCCGGCAGGTGCAGGCGAAGCACAAGGTGAGGGGAAAGAACAAAAGTACCAATTTTGGAGAGATGAGAGATGCAGTCGGATCAAGGCAGAATCAGCCTTTGCAGCCTCATGGCCTGATTGCGAATGAAAGTTTGCAGGGATTGCCAGCGTCGCGAGAGGTCTAGAAGTTCTGAAGACGCCGAAGGAGTGCGGCACAGACTTTTGTTGTCATCGGGAGTGCCAAGACACTAGCATGGCGATCCAATTACAAATCACCTAAGCATCATTGCTTTTTCCTCCTGAACTTTCTTTCCTCGAATTTCTCGAGTCCCAAGTAGCGAACATAATGGTGATAACTCAGGATCAATTGCACCAACTAATCAACCGAAATAGGCTCACTCGGGAGAAATTAAACTTGGGTTTTCCCTCACTAACGGTGCCAAGACACAGCATTGACACAGTTCAAACAACAACACTATAAAGGAAGTGGACTTACAAGTGAGCGCGTCCTCCAGACCGCTGTTTCTCATTCCATGAGGTCTTAGCGCAAGAGGCACAGAGATATCACACTGCTTTGCCCGGGTGAAATCCAGGCCAGCCGAAGGAAGTTGCCTTTTGGACAAGTCACATAGCAGAGTTACATTATCTATTTGGAACTGGTCTACCGCCCCCGCACTGGCAATTCAAAAAAGATGGTTTGCTCCAATCAGATCAATCAGTTTCTTAGATGGCTGATAAGTTTAGTGCCCAATAGGGATGTTAAAATGTTGTCACAAAACGGACTGTGACCGACACAGCGAAATGGCCATGTTTTTTATGACGGTCAGAGACGACATACACGTGACTAGAAGTGGGTTAATACTAACCAATAATCAGGCGCCCTGCCTAGCTAATAGGTTTCTATATTGGGACTAGCGCTTTTTTATGCTAGGGGAGCTAGACCCTTTAAAGTATGCCAAGCGCCGATCTGTCAGTCTTGTTTCGCTGTGACCGTCACACTGGTTATTTTGGTGGTCACAGACAGTCAGACATATGTTGGACCGCACCCCTAGTGCCCAAGAGGTCACAGTTGGGGTTGACTAGAGCCCGCGGGTTAGGTATTTACTAAGGCGTGTTAGTTTTAATATAATAAGCAGGCTAAGATTTAGCCTAAATATATAAGCTAGTTATTTTATTTTTTTTATACCTTATTAACTTTACTAAGTACTAAGTTATAACTAGTTAGCTTTATTAGCTAACTTTATAATAATATAAAAAAACTAGTTACTAATTAAGTATATTAACTTTTTTTTTTAAAATTTTTTTTTTTTACCTTTACTTTTTACCTACCTTAAACCTAACTAGTTAAAGCTAACTAGTTAAAAGTAACTAGTTATTACTTTTTATTAATTATTTTTATTACTTAATTTTTAATTAATTACTATTTAGTACCTAACTAGTTATTTTTAGTGGTTATTTTTTATAAGTTTATTTTTATTAATATTTTTAACTAGTTATTACTTAGTCCCTAACTAGTTATTTAATATAATAATAAAAAATTAGGCACTTAAGACCCTTTTAAAATACTAGTAATATATAAAATTATATATTACTAGTACTTTTAAGCTCTTAAAATTTAAGGTTATAAGTTAATTAAATTATAACTAGTTAATAATAGGTTATTAATTAATTTAATTTAATATTAACCTTATTAATAGCAAGCTTAAAATACTTAAAATTTATATTAAAAAATAGTAATACTAGTGCCCTAAGTACACCTTATTAATAAGTTAATTAATATTTAACTAGTACTTAATTAATAACTAACCTTTTATTTAAAAAAATTATAGCACAAAGTCTAACCTTACTAAGTATATTAAAAAAATATATATTAAAAAGGGAAAAAACCCTTTTTATACCCTTAACTTTTACTTAATTAATTATAATAAAAAAACCCTAAATAATAATAAGGTTAGTAATATAATTAATAAGTAAATAACCTATTTTTAACTAATTATTAACTAATTATTAATTAATTATTAATAAGTAATAAATTAATATAAGGTGCTTATTAAAAACCATGTTAATTATTAAAAGGCTTAAGCTATAAAAAAAAGGTAAATATAATAATTACTTATTTTTAACTAGTTTTTAACTAGTTAAATATTATAAAAGTAATATTAATTCATTAACTCTTACTTTTAGCCCTAAGAAAAAAAGGTAAGTCCCTTAATTAATAAGTAACTAGTTACTAACTAGTTAGCCCTATTATTAATTTTACTTTTAATAAGGTTAATAAAACTTTTATTACTATACTTAAAAACCTTATATAAGTTTAAGCCCTAACTAGTTTATAACTAGTTACTAACTAGTGTAGTGGGGTTGCACCTTAATATTGATTCCTGTAGTACTTATAGCCTTGCTACCGGCCTCCTGTACCTAGTTTATTATTTATTTTAATATATATGTTTTTTTTTTATTATTATTCCTACCTATACTATATATTATTTAGTCCTAAAATACTGCCACTATTTAGCTTTTTTAGCTTTTATACTTTAATACTACTTTTTTATATATTAGTAACCAACGTAGGGCATGTTTTTTTAATATTATAAGGGTAAAAAGGGTGTTTGCTAAACCCCTAAATTAAGAGTTTTTAATACTAGTAGCTATGCCTTGGTAACTTAGGTATTTAAAAATATTAAAAAAAGGGGTAAAAAACTATTAAGGCCTAAAGGTTAGCAAGAATTAAATAGTAAGTATAAATTAAACCTAGTAAAAAAGGCAGGTAGGCCGCGTATAAAATACCCTAGTAATTTTTAGGGAAATAATAAACTAGGAAATCCTAAAAAATATTAATTACCTAATAAATATAATAAATTAAATAGTAAAATTAGTAAAGCTAGTATAAATATAACTAATAAATTTAAAGTAAAGCTCCCAAGGGCCCACCCAGGCAGTTATACTAGGTATTTAATAATAAAGTAAAAATATTTTATAAGTCCCTTTTTATAGTTATAAAATTTTATTTTTTACTAAGTATTTATAAACCTAGCCCTTTAAAAAATTATTTAAAACCTTTAGTATATACAAGCCTACTGCTTGCTTGCTAACTTTTATTATTAAGTAAAAATATTTTATATATTTAAGTTTTTAAGTAAAAACAGTGGTAAAAACACTAAGTAAATATTTATATTTATAATTAAAAATTTTAGTAATATATCCCCCGCGGCCAAGGGTAAGCCTAGTAATATTATTAATAAGATTTACATGTCTTTTAGTAACTCCTATAATAATAATACCAGCACTTTTAAGGCTATAAGGGGTATAATAAAAAAAAAGTATTACCTTTTATTAATTACCCCTATGCTAATTCCTAGTACTTTAAGCATACCTATATTTAATAATAAAAATATAACCAGGTTTTTAAAAATATATAAGTAGGCCTGCAAGAACTAAAATATTTATAATAAATTAGGGAAAGTTACTAAAATAACAGGCTATTATAATTATAGTATTTTAAATATTATTAGGAACCTGGAAGGGTACACTAAGCAAGACTAAAAGATCTTAAAAATTACTATGCTAAATAAGTACTAGTACCTTAACTAGTACTAAATTAAGTAATTATACTAGTACCTTAAAAAATTTAAAAGCTAGCCATGTATATAAACTAATAATTTTTATAATTATATTATAAAGTATAATATAATTTTAGCCTAAGTTATATAAATTAATAAATTAAATAATTATACTTAATATATTTAGCTAACCCAAGGCTTTTTAAGTAACCTAGCCTAATAAGTTTTTAAAAAATTTAGGCTAAAGGTAGGAAGCTGCCGCTAGCTTAAGTATAAGATAATTAAAAAATATATATTAAATATTTTTACGGCGGAAAAACTATACCTTAAGATTAATAAAAAGGTTATTATATTTTTTAAAAAAAAAAGCTAAAAAAAAAGGCTATATTTTAAATACTTTTAAATACATAGCTAGTATTTTAGTGGTTAAAAAACCCTTAATTTTATTAAATAAAATTATAAGCTAGTAGGAGAAACACTCCAGCCCTGCCTAAAATAACCTTTAAAAAATTATAAAAGCTATTAAAGTATTATAGCTAAACCTTAAAGTTATAATAGCCTAATAAGTATAATAGCCTTTTTACTTTTTAAATATATGGTAGGCACCGCCCCCCTAAGTATTTATATATTAAATTACCGCGTACGTCCCCCCTAAACTAAAACTACTTTTTAATAATACCTACCCTAGTAGTACCTATTTTAATAATACTTATTTTAGTAATACCCGCCCTAGCAGTACCCGCCTTAATAATACTAAAAATAATAATACCTACCTAATAATATATTAGTACTCCTGGTTTAAGCGCCCCTGCCTTATAATAATTACTATTATTATAGGACTTTAAAATACTATATAAGCACTTATATTATATAAATAGTAAATATAATAAATAAAATATATTATAAAAACCTAAATATTAATAAGCTGTATGTTAGCAAGGTAGAAAATAAAAAACCTAAGATTAAAGGCTAGCTAGGAGTACTAATAGTAAAGTAAGTACTAAAAGTTATTAAAAACTAGTTAAAGCCAGAGTTTTTAAGGGCAAATATTAG